TGACGTTTCGGGCCTAGACCCTTCATCAGAAAAGGGTCTAGGCCCGAAACGTCAGCCTTCCTGCTCCTATGATGCTGCTTGGCCTGCTGTGTTCATCCAGCTCTGCACCTTGTTGTCTCAGATTCTCCAGCATCTGCAGTTTCTACTACTATCTCTGATGCTTTCCAACTGTTGTATTATCACATCTTTGATAGTACTCTAGCATTTTCCCTACTACCGATGTTAGACTAACTCATCTATCTTCTGTTTTACTTCTCATTCCCTCCCTTTTAAAATAGTGAGGTTAAATTTGCCACCCACCAATCTGTGAAAACTGTGAATTTTGGATGGCCACCAATGAATCCAATATTTCCAGGGCCATCTCCTTTAGTAACCTGGGAATAGATCATCAGCCTGGGCAATTTATCAGACTTTAACCTCATTAATTTCCCCCAGCACCCTTTTTTATAAAAAAGTTATAAATACCGATTTTGATCAACTACTCCCTCTCACGTGATTGTTGGTTCTCCAATATTTCTGGGAAGTTATTTGTGCCCTCTTTTGTGAAGCCTGAACTAAAATGTGTTCAATTCTTCTGCCATTTCTTTGTTCTCCATTATAACTTCATTAAAATTTCACTGACTTCTGACTTAAAGGTTAAAATTTCTTTTCATTAATCTTTTTCTCTTCACATAATTTTTGAAGCTTTTATGGCTGGATTCGAAGTTCTTTGCAAATTTACTCATTATTTTCCCTTCTTGATCAATCTTTTTGTCCTCTTTTGCTGAATTCTAAACTACTCCCAGTCTTCAGGCTTGCTGCTTTTTCTGACAATTTTTCAGTATGTCTTCTCTTTGGATCTAATACTATCCCTAATTTCGTTTGTAAGCCATGTCTGAGTCACCTTCCTGGTTTTATTTTTGCGCCAGATGAGAATGACTAATTGTTGTTCATCACCATTTATGATTCCTCATATACTGAAGCAGGCCATAGCCAAATACAACTAGACCTGGACAAAATTGACTAGCCGTGTAAATATGTAGCTACTACAGCAGTTCAGAGGCTCAGAAGCCCACAGCAAGGAATTCGCCTCCTGACTCCTCGGAGACTATACACCATCTGCAGAGTCAGGATTGGGATTGAGTACTCCCCATTTACCTGGATGAGTGCAGCTTCAGCAGCTCACAAGAAGCCTGACACCATCCAGGACAAAGCAACCTGCTTGACTGGCATATCTGTAAACATTTACTCCCTCCACCACTGACCATCAGTAATAACTGTGTGCACCATCAAGATGTACCACAAGATAAGGCTCCTTATCAGCACCTTCCAAACCCATGCCCATACCAACTGCAAGGAAAAATATGAGAACACCAACACTGCAAGTTTCCATCTAAACCACTCAACATCCTGACTTGGAAATGCATCACCGTCCCTTCAGTGCCCCTGGGTCAAAATCCTGAAACTCCCTCCCTGGATGTCCCTGGGGTGTACCTATACCAAATGGACTGCAGCAACTCACTACTACCTTCAAGGGCAGCAACGAATGGACAATAACTTTTGGTCCAGCTAGCGACACCCACATCTTACAATTGAATGAAACGACAGACAAGGGAGAACCAGTGGATGTGTATATTTGGATTTTCAGAAAGCTTTTGGTAAAAAAAGACCACACAAGTAGAGTCTGTGCAATATTGAAGCACATGTGATTGGTAGTAACACGCTAGCAGGGAATGAGAATTGGTTAGCAGATAGGCAAAAGAAGTGTAGGAATAGAAAGAGTTATTTTCAGAGTGGAAGGCTAGTGGAGTACTGCTGTGACCCTAGCTATTCACAATATGTATTGACAGTCTGACTGAAGGAATTCAGTTGAACTGTTATATTTCCAAGTTTGCTGATGACACAAAGCTAGGTGCAAGTGAAGGAAGTAAAGGGGCTTCAGCTTGATTTAGAGAAGTTGACAGAGTGAGTGAGCAAGCACATGGCAGATGCAGGATAACATCCTCAAAAAAAACTCCAGTGGCTGTGCTAAACACAATTTCCTTTGCATAGATCTATGTTGACTTTGTCATAACATTAGCAATTTTTAAAATATCAAGCTATCTGTCATGTTATTAGCCTCCCATCATTCACCTTCCAGAAACGTTAGATCCTCCATAGACTCTCATTAGCATAGACTTTCTCATTGCTGCAAATTTCTATCATCTCTGAGGCATTGAGGGAAATTTGTTTCATTGAATGATACCAAAAAGTTAAAAACAAACACGTACTTCTTGGATCAAGGCTGCAATTTCTTACCTAATTCCACAATTGATTCCTTGGATAGGTTACAATTGCTGGCAACAAGAGTTGTTAATCTTGGTAAAAAGCGCAGGCGGGCTATCAGGTGCCTCAGAGAGTTTCCTATATTCTTATTCAATGCTAAATTCAGCACTTGTAGACTGGATAGCAGGGGCAGTATCTGGGCTGCAAAGAAAAAGTAATTGGCTCATTTAATGATATTTGATTTTCAACCTCAATCATGTGAGACAGCAGGACTTATTCAGTTAATGGTAGGACCCTGCGCAGTGCTGTCTAACAGAGACACCTCGGGGTTCAGGCACAGTTTTTGAAAGTTGCACGACAGGGTGGTTAAGAATGCATTTAGCACGCTCGCCTTCATTGCTCAGACCAGTGGAGTACAGGAGTTGGGACGTCATGTTGAGCTCGTGCAGGACGTTAGTGGGGCCACTGTTCGGGTATTGCATACAGTTCTGGTTGCCCTGCTATAGGAGGGATATTATTAAATTAGAGAGGGTTCAGAAAATATTTGCTAGGATATTACTGGGGGACTGGAGGGTTTGAGTTATAAGGAGAGGCCGGATAAGCTGGGACCTTTTTCACTGGAGTGTAGGAGGTTGAGGAGTGATCTTATAGAGGTTTTTAAAATCATGAGGGGCATAGACAAGGTGAATAGCAAAGGTCTTTTCCCTAGAGTGGGGAGTTCAAAACTAGGGGACATATTTTTAAAGATGAGAGGAGAAAGATTTCAAACAAAAAAAAAAAAAAAAAAAAAAAAAAAAAATTTTTGAGGGGCAACTTTTTCCACACAGAGGGTGGTTCGTGTATGCACTGAACGACCAGTGGAAGTTGTAGATGCAGGTACAGATATAACATTTAAAAGATATGAATAGGAAAGTTTGGAGGAATATGGGCCAAATCCAGGTAAGTGGGACTAGTTTAGTTCGGGAAACGGGATCAGCATGGATGAGTTGGATTGAAGGGGCTGCTTCCACGCTGTATTAATTTAATCCTTGCAAGAGGCAGGATATGAGGAATTGTGGTCAAGCTCACTATGGGAGATGGTAGATCTGTAGTGGATATTAGTCATTAGCCATCCCCAAAAACGGAAGCAGGCAAATCAATGAAGGAAAGAGTCAGAAATTGAACAGGTGAAAGTGAGAGAAGGATTATGAACATTGGAAGCAGAATTAAAAGTCTTTTCCAATTCTGGACCAGAGGTAGGAAGCAGCACCAATGATGTCATTTATGTACCAGAGAAAGAGCTGAAGGCTCTGCCCAAGCAGGAGTGAAACATAAGTTACAGTAAACTTGCATAAAGCATGAGTTTGGCCTCAGTTTTGGGCACCACCCTTCAGGAAGGATAAGACCACATTGGAGAGAGTGTAGAAGATGTTTATGAGAATGGATCCAGGAACGATGAGGAATTGATGGAGAATTTAGGACTGTTTTCCTTGGAGAAGGAAAGGCTTGAATGGACATTTGAAAGAGGTGCTAGAAATCCTGAAGGAGAGAGCAGATGGATGGAAACTATTCCTATTGATCGAGAAGCCACAGGAGAAAAAGAATAGAAAGCAAAAAAGTGTCAGTGAAGAAAAGCTGTTTTCTTGCAGCAAGTGGTTAGGATCTGGAATGCACTGCCTGAGCATATGGTAGCAGCAAGTTCAAATGGCATATTCCAGAAGGAATCAGACTGTTATCTGAACAAGAAAACTTGCGTAGTATTACATGGAGAAGGCAGGGAATGGCACCAAATGAGATGCTCATTTGGAGAGCCAGCGCAGACACAATGGCCCAAGTCGACATTGTAGCCATTCTGTGGTTCATTGTGACACAGTCAAGGTGCCAATTGTTAATGTAATTTAGGGGCCAGATACGGAGGCATTCTCTTGCCTAAAACTGATATGCACAAATTTCATCTGAACCCAATTCCTGGTCAGCAACAAGTCAATGAAAAGATGTATTCTAAAATATAGTCAGGGCATTCTTTCAGATTGGAGCAGTAATGGGGAGTTCCCTTCTTTCTCTTACAATGCCACTCAATTTGAATGACATTAAAACAGACATGAGAAAAAAAAAGTGGGTAAATTTTCAATTTTTTGCCACTATGTTTCTTGATAAACACAAATTATCATTTTTAAAACGTTCACTCAGAAGGTTTTCCCCTTGGAGAGGTGTTCAGTTGTTGAGCTGTTAAGAACAGTAACAGAACAATTGATTGCAGCTTTACTCACTGAGAGCAGAAACATCATCTTCAGTCAATGAGCACCTATGTACATCGAACACTTGGAGCTGTTTGAAGTTCGATAAATGGGCTGCTGTCTCCTGGAAACCACCGCCAATGTTATTACAGGAGAACACTAACTTCTTCATACAAGGCACATATTCCAGTGCATCACCTGCAGATATTGAGACAAATTTATTAAAATTAAAAGTTGACTGAGGACATATAGTAACTGATCAGCTTAGTCAGAGAGTGGTGTCAAACCTCTTTTGGTCAGTGATGCCGGACACCAGAATTCATTATTCCCTCAATTTTATTCATAAAGGAGGACATTACAAATGTCTAACTCTTATCCCTACAATCCACAGCAGTGCCCCTTTGACAGTGCAGTACTTATATATTTTTTTTTAAAAGTTTCTGCAGCAAGGATTGAACCCAAAATGGACTCAGAATCATAGAAACCCTACAGTGAGGAAGCAGGCCATTCAGCCCATTGAGTCCACACCAGTCCTCCAAAGAGCATCCCACCCAGACCCACTCCACTAGCCTAAAGTGAGCGAGACTGGTAGAGCATGAGCCATGGTTGGAGGTGTGTTCAATAGTAAAGATGGAGAGAACATCAGGGATGGAGAGAGCATCAGGAGTGGAGAGAAAATGGTGGCACTTACACTGGTGGGAGTGGAGAAGGTCTTTGACTTTCTTCCTACAGAGTTATGTATTTATCCATTTGGCGCAAAGTGTCATCTGGGTTAAAGCAATTTCAGACGAAGCTGATGTTATGGCCAACATTGCTGGTCCTGAGAGAAAAGAATGTCCTGCTTATGCTCCACTCCGTCCAACAGGACCCCCATGGCCCTGCCTGCAAACAGAGAGACTGATTTCCCATCTCCAACATCCGGGGAAAATGCTAGAAACCATGCAGGTCAGCTCTAGACTGACAGCATTTGTCAGGGTGAACTATGACATTTAAAGTTGTCACAAGCACAGAGCTGACAGTGAATCCTGAGATATCCCAGTTGTGGAAATTTGTTCTGAAAACTGAGCAGGGCAAGATAGGGCTAAAATCAAACATGTGGGGCCCATTGAGATGGGGCAGATAGTTAATGAGGCAAGTTTGGCAAGATATGGTAAGAAAATGTTCTGGGGAAGGTGGAGGGGGTGTCGGGAGGAAAATCACTCCAAAACAAAACCAATGCAACTCACACTGACCAAAAAAAAAAGGTAACCTTCAGCCAATGACAAATTCCCACATCTTCTGTGTTCGTGACCAGATTTGGGCCAGCTATTCTTAAAGATAAATCATGTTTGACCAACTTTTTAAATTTTTTGATTATACCTTCCCTCTTACCTGATCAAGTCAGTGCAGGAGATATATATCTGGAAAGTACTGAATATTGTGCCATATGGGAGGCCCATTAGGGCTGATGTGGTAGTCTGGGTCAGAGGTCTAGGTTCAAGTCCCAGCTGACCCAGACAGGCGTCATAACTTTAGGAAGTATAGTCAAATGAAACTAATGAGAAAGTAATTGTATAGGTAGGCAACTGTCTCAGTGACAGAAACAAGGATATGAATGAATGTTTTTTTCCAGACTGGGGGTGTGGTTTGCAGTCACATTCTCCATTACTCTCAATCTTTCTAAACAAACTTCACTTTCATCAGAACAGCATTATAAAGTTTGCAGGTGATAATAAACAAGACTGACGAGAATAGTTATAGACTTCTGGACAGAGACAAGATACTAAAGCGGAATGATGCATGAAAGATGGGAGTTCAATGTAGAAAGTGACCACATTTGTCACATTTCAACGCAGAAAGTGGGGCAGGCAGTGCTACAAGGGATGGATAGATGGATTAATTGGCGATTCTTGCATTCTCTCAGACATCTCAATGTGGCGCCTGCATCATCCGAATGAAGTCTCTTCACATGCTAAGTCCCCTCCAGAAATGACCTTTGCCACTTTGGTCAGCCACGAGATAGGGAGTCCTGCGAATCAGCAGGGCTGCTTGACCTCTACAGGGAGGCTTTGGGGATTAAAACAACGTTTTTGCTGTTCTCTTGCTGAGATCAAATTCAGAGTAGTGAAATTGCTTCAGGGGTCCATGGCAGGCATTCAAACGTCATTTCCTGCTCAATGCCGTTGGTTTTGAATGACTGGCACCACAGGGTTGGCAAGTTGACTTGGGAGAGAATGCTGCTGTCGAACTCTCTTCTTCATCACCTGATGTGGAAGACCTTAGAAAGGCACTGCTGGGAGTACTTCCCCAGTTCTTTGAGGTACCATCTGTGGGTTGTCCAAGTGGCCCAAGTGTATGGAAGCATGGAGTTTCTCAATTTCATCAAGATATGGAAAATGGTTGACAGTTCCTAGAATATCAGTGTTGATCTTAAAAATCAATGACAGGGATGGGGGTAGAGTTTTTGATCTGTGGGAGCTGGTTTGAAGAGAACATTAGTTTTCTGGGGGTTTAATGAGATACCCAGCCTGCTTCAGAGAAGAAGTCAATAATGGCCTGGAGCTGAGTTGTGTGTGTGCTCACTCAGAAAATGTCATGTGCACACTGAAGCTCAAGGACTGAAGCTTCAACAGCTGTTGATTGAAGGAAATGTAGATTGAACAGCTTCATGACAACAAGGTGCAGGGCTGGATGAACACAG